AAACCCGGGAACTCTCCCAATGTCAGTCAACAGATTGGTAGGTACCAAACCTAAGGCACCGAGAACAATGTGGAGTCGGGCAACTTGGTACTTGGGATGCAAGGGTGACGTTTTAAAAGCAAGGTCTGCATATTTGCCATCTTTTCATTAGTGTTCAAAGGGACAGAAAATTCGATAATATAAATTATTTCCTTGAATTTATCAAAAAGGACCAGATCAGGTTTGTTGGCCTTGGTTTTTGTAATTATTTTTATATTTGCCTTATCTTGCCAAATAATCCAGGTCAAGTCCGACTCCACGACTTGGCTGATCGCTTGTCATCGACCAATGGGACGATATTTTTTTCAGTCATTTTTTTGCCTAGCCTAGACTCGACTATCTAAAGGCAGACGTTACAGCGCTGTGAATTTGGTGACTCCGGTGTAAAAAAAGTGAATTTTCCTTTTGGTTGTGTTAGTTCGGCATAAACAAAATGCATAGTACAAGTCAAGGTTTCACGGTACGTTTTAAAGTTAAAACAATAAAATTCTTATAATCTAGGCTTAGTTTATCCTTTAAATGTGTCACACACAAACAGAAAAAAAACGTTGAAGATCTTTTGCAAGCGCCACGAGAGGCGTATTGTGATTGCACAAGACACTTCATATAACTAATAACTAGTATTTGACATGTCTGACGTGTATGACGCTCACCCTTAGAGATAACATGTGACATATCGGTGCTCCTTTTGTGGAACAGCCAACACTAGCCTCAGTTGTTGACTTTGTCAACACAGTCAGCCTAAATAGCATCATCCAGTATCAGTCATTGTGCAAATGTCATCAGTAAGAGTCATAAGAAGGGAGATAACTGCAGGCAGGCCTGGGACAGTTAAGTTAATTAAAATCAGGTGTGCATTGCGCGACATTGCAGAGTTTTTTATGGTGGGGTGAGTATTATTGTATACAAAATTAACGAGAGTTTTACCTCGTATGAATAATATCGACACTTGTGTCAGCTTAGGTTAAAACATAATGGATTGGATCAGGTGAGGTGAGGTGAAATGGGGTTTAACGTCGCGTCCAAGATTATTGCACTTATATAGCGACGGGCATGTACGTGTGTGTGTTTGTGTGGCTGCTTGTACTAGTTCGGTCTGATGCCGACATATAGTGCTAGCACACTGAGATACCATGCCGCAGTTTAACATGAATACCCCACTCAGACACAGTATATTGACTCCGAGCCGACCAGTAATTGTTTGAGCCCCTTAATGCCGAGCGCCAGAGAGGGTAACAACAAGTACCATATTTTAACGTCTTTTGGTATGACGCGGCCGGGTATCGAACCCCGGACCTTCCGCTATCCGGGCGGACGCTCTACCACTAGACCACGGAGGCGGTCGGATTTGATCAGTAAATTAGTTTTAAAACGTTTCCTGAACGGCGGTGTTACTTCACTGTGTCTGTAGGATTTAGTAAGAAACGTAGAGAAATACATTATATTCTGATTTTTACGATCAGCATGAAACATTGATAATCGGTATTCATGTAATTGCTTTATGACGGCGGCCTGTACAATTATAAAAACTTGACAAAACAAACTAATGGTTGAGAGCGTGAGCATGATTAATGCCGGAGAGATATGAATCATGCATAATATCCAAGTCACACTCTAACCATCCGATCCTCAGTTTTATATAATGTCTTGATACAAGATTGAGATAACGTGATGCCGGGTAAAACTATGTCCCCCAGGTCGTGCTTCGATCATACCAAAAGACGTTAAAAGATGGTACTTGTTATTACCCTGCCTGGCATTAGTACGGACTATCACAAACAGCCACACACACGTGCATGCACGTCGCTATATAAGTGCAATAATCTTGAACGCGAACGTAAACCCCATTTCACCTCACCTAATATGCTGGTCGTAAGAGGCAACTGAATGGACCGGGTGGTCAGTTTTGGGGACTTACATGATAACGTGTCCTCATACCCCGACGGCGAGTCGTTGTTCACAATATCAATCATTGGATTGTCTGGTCCAGATTATTTACATACCGCTGAACAGACAAAGACACAGACAGGTAGAACATGTTGGGCCGCTAATGTTAAATGTCTGTTGTATTTATAAAGTTTCGGTGAGGTTTGGCTGCAACAAGGTGTTGGGTCTATTTTTTAGCAGCGATGTATCGATATTTGAAATCTTAGAAAATTTCACAAAATTAGAACTGTACTGTTCAATTCGAGAATCGTTTAGCTTTGGAGCTTGTGTTCAACACGTTGATGTATTTATATTTAGAAAGGATCTTATACGCTTCTGTTGCTCTAGCCCTTCTCTTATGATGCAAAGTGGAAGAAAATATGATATACCAAGGAATAAACGGTTATGCCCACTGAATACCACTTTTGTTTAGAATGCCCCTTTAATTCTGACGTTAGAATACTATTCTTCCGTTATAATATTGTGAATTCCCTAGCCATGAGAAATTCAGACAGTTACTATTTTGTAACTCCCCTTTACAAAAAATGTCTTGCAAAGTATATATTCTTAGCTAAAAAAAAGAGAGAGAGATACTTATTTTAATTAAATTAATTATTCGTGGCAATATATTACATTTTGTGTGCTCTGCACTGTATTTAATATACTTTATATCATAGTTATGATTGTGGTTGTCACAAATGTGGGGGCGGTCGGGTAGCATACTGGTTAAAGCGTTCGCTCGTCACTGGAATATTGCTAAAAGCGGCGTAAACACTCACTCACTCACTCACTCACTCACCCACCCACCCACCCACCCACCCACCCACTCACTCACTCACCCACTCACTCACTCACTCACTCACTCACTCACTGGTATTATATTAGATTGCAACTTCATCTCTGCGTGTCTGTAAGAAAAATGTATTGCAAGCTTTGAATCTGTATCAATGGGCCGGTGGCCCCTTTACGCTAATAAACAACATCTGAATCACAAAACAAACTGTGGCTCTATTTTACAATACATACCCACAGGGATCGTCGTACAAACACATGTGTGATTGTTTGTGTGATATTTATTTAATTTTCTTATTTAGTAGACATTTTATCGATTGTTTAACCCAGGTAAGGTCGGTCGTCAACACGTGTACTATTTTATGCACAGGTTAATTGGCTATTTCCGTCATGTCGATTCGATAAGCCCACAGTCACTTCTCCGAGGGAAGTCGCTACATCGATATGTTTCATGACTTTCAGGAGAGTTCATATTGATTTGGCAAGAGATGTGAAATCTGTCGACGGAGTACTTCCCGAGAGTGTTGACCCAGCTCTCTCACACACCTGGAGTCACAGGTATGCAGGCGGCAGCAGGACGACACTGGCTTACCTGGAATGTGTTGTCATGTGGATGGGCGCTGTTGTCTGTTTGATTGTTGTTTAACGCCGCACTCAGCAATATTCCAGCTTATATGACGGCAGTCTGTAAATAATCGAGTCTGGACCAGACAATCCAGTGATTGACATCATGAGCATCGATCCACGCAACTGGGATACGATGACATGTATCAACCAAGTCAGCGAACCTGACCACCCGATCCCGTTAGTCGCCTCTTACGACAAGCATAGTCGTCCTTTGCGGCAAGCATAGGTGTAGGTGGGCGTGGTCCTTAGGCATGGTCTTCAGATGGACAGATATATACTCACAGACAAAGAATAAGCGAAAACCCTACATGTTGGTTAATATATGAAGAATTACTCATATTCAAGAGACATTAGATAGGTTCGATGCACAAAAGAACATACCGGTATGTTACATGAACCGACGCTCATGAACGCATCACATGTGACGTCATAGATCCATGACTCGAGATGCACCATTTGTCCCGTGCAGGATTAGCGTATAAAGTTTGGAAATCACCTGCAGCATATTGCGATAAGAAAAAAGACACTGTGGTAACACTACTGCTTGTTAGTTTTGTCAATAAGTGGTGCACATTGGAAACATCTCTTCTCAACGTACATACCTCTCTATATGTTTCTATGTTTCGCGTTTCTTTTGACGGTGAGTATAGAACGGACAGTCGGACAGACAGATATATGAACAATCAGATACAGATATCTATACAGACAGACAGATAATTACAGATATATAAGATACGCGAAAAATCGCAAAGAACAATGAAGGACGAAGTGTGGTTTATTTCACTATAAAACATTGTTCTATCATGACGTCTTTTCTGGAGATTCGAACGAACCGTTGGACGACGTTATTTTTTAGAATGGAGTGTCTGGTGAGTTGTTTGTTGTTTAACGCCGCACTCAGCAATATTCCAGCTATATGACAGCGGTCTGTAAATAATCGAGTCTGGATCAGACAATCCACTGACCGACATCATGAGCATCGACGAAACGATGACGTGCATCAACCAAGTCAGCGAGCCTGACCACCCGATCCTGTTAGTCGCCTCTTACGACAAGCATAGTCGCCCTTTACGGCAAGTATGGGTTGCTGAAGATCTATTCTATCCCGGATCTTCACGGGTCGACAAACATCTATATATGCAGACAGATACTGATATATATGCATATCGATACACAAAAAATCGGAAAAATGATTAGAAAGGCAATCGTATAGACAGATACACAGTCGGACAATCAAATAAATACCGTCGGACAAACTGACAGACAGACAGAAATACAGACAGACTATCGAACACACAAATAGATATTCAGACAGACAGATATAAAAAAAATAGCAATAATAATAAGGTGCATAGATTATTGTCATGTTGATATACGGAACGCGTAGGTGAAGGGATAGATAAACAGATAGACAGGTAGATTTATTAGACACATATAGATATATCTGCTGTTATCCATTATTCCAACACGTCAGTCGAGGGCCGATTAGTTTACTGTACCATACACTGACTCCTGCTTAACCAGTCAAACAAACTGCCGTCATGGAGGCTCAGAGTGAGCGATCATGCCATTATATTTAATAGACAGCGTGTGACAAACGCCCTCCCGGTGTCATAGGAAACATACGCGATCGAATTTCACCTGTCACGTGTTTTAATCACAGCCGCGTTAGTCACAGCGGATCACACATCTGGGATTCTTACGTCAAGCTCATGCGTGCTTATGGTTAGAAAATTGGGATAATAGCTTCAACCGAATGGAATATTCGAGGCAATATAAATGCTAGGTGGTCGGACTGAGAATTGTGTTGATTGCCGTGAAGGTGAAACTGCCACTGTATACGTATCGCAGTGATTGTACTGGGCGTTGCGAGGCTCCGCGGTAGCATGTGAATCTGTGCTTGAAGAGTTGGGAGTTGGATGGACGTTTTCTGACGTCACACACGTTGATGAGAGAAGTATCAGGTACGAAATATACATTTATTTCACACAAGCAAGGTATTAGACTACTAATGTAAAGGTGGCCTTGTCGTCCAAGGCGCCGCGATTCGCTGTGCAGAGTTGCGTCCCTTGGGCACGCCAGAAACCTATGATCGTGGGTTCGGATCCCGGTTCGCCCCGATTATGTTTCTAGGTTTGTCAGCACCATACCTACCCGTGCTCGTGGGTTTCACCGAAGTGGTAAACGTCTGAGACCTGTATCACCTCGGGCTTTCCTCCCACATTAAGCTGACACGGCGTGATATAACTGGAATACTGTTAAAAGCGGCGTCAAATGCAACTCACTCACTTACTCACTAATGTAATGAGTGAGTATGGTTTTACGCCGCTTTTAGCAATATTCCAGCAATATCACGGCGGGGGACACCAGAAATGGCCTTCACACATTGTACCCATGTCGGGAATCGAACCCGGGTCTTCGGCGTGACGAGCGAACGCTGTAACCACTAGGCTACCCGACCGCCCCCTCACTAATGTAAAACATAAGGATACAATTATTAGAGGTGTGAGACATGAGTATATTGTTTCAGCCTATACCGATAATAACAAACTTTGTATGTTACCAAAGTTACTTTTAAAACTAATGAGTCAAACCTATTTGAGCATAGCAGTGATATTAACTGTTTAAAACACTGGCGAGAAGCCATCATCAACCAGAGCTAGTCCACCTTCCTGGGATCATAGAGACTAACTGTACCTCAACTTCATGCACGACACTTCAAGCAGGATTTACGTCATCGCTGTAGCTACCGGCGGTTCTCGACCACAATAGGTTATATATAGATATTTCCATCTGAGGACATTATGTTTAGAAAGCTTGCGTAAGATGGCAATATCCGGTACACCGCGTGCCCGATTTAACCTATATGTACGTCAAGTTACGCTTATATTCATTCAGGAAATTAGTGCTGGTGTCAGGCTCTCGATGCAGCAAATTAACTGGTCTATAAGCTTCAACTGACATTCTTGAAATATTTATTTACATGTAATCGTCCAGGTGGCCAGTATTACTATTGATTCTACTCTTAGTGTGACCGGTGCATGGGGTACTCGGAGATAACGTCAACCAACGGCGAAGTGAGTGAGTGAGTTGGGTTTTACGCCGCTTGGAACTGTATTACAGTTGTGCGACGGTGTGTTAGCTTGATGTGGATGGTAAGCCCAAAGTGATGCAGGTCTCGGACGTTTACCACTTTGGTGAAATCCGTCAGCACGGGTATGGCGCTGACCAACCCAGCAACATAATCATAGCCAATCTGATATTATGCAATCCCTTATCATATCCCCTACCCCCACCCCTACAGTTTAGCGTTAAAGCAACATTCTTACTACTGACAGCCAACATACTGTTACAAACGTAAATATGTAAACTGACTGTAGGAAAATCGGACGAAGAATGTCCTTTTTCCGTTAACGATGACCAGTGGTGTTCTCTGCAGCCCACAAATTCCTCCCCACACCATAACACCCCCTCCACTATACGCACGACCTCCTGAACGCAACATGCCGCCGTTCATTCTCCCCTTCGGCGGTAAACACACTGTCGTCCATCAGCTCTTAACAAACACAGCCGACTTTCATCAGTGAAGACGACCCTCTGCCAGTCACGTTCCTGCCAACGACGTACAGTCCGGACCGATCTCAATCTCTGACGACGATGTTGCGCTGTCAATAACTGTCTTCTGTAAGGTCTGTAAGCCCTAATCCCTTGAGCCCTGAATCGTCTGGCCACTGTCTGTCGACGAACCATATGACCTAAGGCATTCGTCGCTGATGACGTCACTGTCAGCAATCGATTCCGGAGATGCAAAGTACGCAAGTACCGGTCTTCGTTGGGTGTAGTTACCATGGGCCCTCTCGCTTTGTTCGGGGGTCAGTCGTGGCATTTCTGTGGTGGTTTTGTTTCAGTGTTTTGTTTTGTTTTGTTTTCACTCTGACATACCGCCCGTATCATTAATATACCCTTTTTTGCACACGTAGTTTCAACTGCCCAAGCGGGACGTGTTCTGCACTTTTTCGCATTTTCGTATTTTCAACCAAACAACGTGCCTTGGAAGTGTATCACTTTCTGCAAAGAGCATTGTTGTGTTTTGACAATGTGTTTAAACTTGTGTCCTGATAAAGCATATAGGCTGCCACAAGTGAAAATGTCAACTTTTCTCCAGTCATAAAAAATAGGACAGGAAAAAACAAATGTTCTCTTGACTTAAACACATCACAAATCATGGTACTGTACAAACAACAAAAACTCTCCAAGTATATCTCATTCACGTACCTTTGTGTCTGACCAAATTTTTTATGCAATTTCCCACGAGAAACACTTTCAATATATCTTACAAATACATATTTTGTTCAACAAACGCTTGAATCCTGATATCGATACACCGCACAACGTGAAAATCACCCCTCAATGACCCGTGACCAACGCCAAACAAACAATCCCAGTTAAATCATTGTGGGTCTACAATCACAAATCCTCCCACTAATCCCGACCCATACCCCATAGTATTGCCCAAGCTCCTCAATAGCATTCCTTTTCACAAACCATGGTTTTCAATCCGTGCAACGTCTTCCACACCCGGTGACGTTACCGCCCGTCTATGACCTTGATCTACAGATAGACGGCGCTCTGTTATACCCGTCTTATTATCGATTAGTACTGACTGTATACAATAGGCGCCTGTGTTGCACTTGAACTAACGCGGATCTAGTTGAGATATTTTGTACAACGCTGTTGTGTATTGTATTGCTGTATGCTTACACACTGCCACCGCTTCTCGACCCCCCAAAAGGCCAAGTAGACAGAGGTAGGTTTACAGATCTTGAAGTAGTTCAATCCTGAGACATGTAGCGTCGTGATATGGATTTTAGCTTGCCTTCAAATTGTATCAAGATTATTATCACTTAAGTTGTTTTGCCGGAAACACAACATGATAGGATAGTTACAGGTGCGGGTGTTACTTTTTTTTATTGCTTTACGTGTGTAATACATGGAATTTGAAGAGCGGGTCACAATGCTCACCCACTATAATCGCTTATGGGTTACTTTCGCATATTTCCGCCGCCCAGCCTCTCGCAAAACATAACATCTGAATTTACGTACTGTTTTATTGCTTTGTATTTTTTAATATTTTAAACTATGAACTCAAGTTATGAAGGCATGAAACAGTTACGTTCTGTTCTGCATTTACACTGTAACAATGTGTTTAGAATGTATACACATACAAGACATATTTAGATCTAAACATGTCAAGGAATGTGTTTAAATCCTAAATGAAATACACATCTGATGACGTTTAGGTCTAAACACATGAAATGAGCTATCGTCTTATAGCCCAAACACCCCAAAACACAACATCCGTACATGTTTAGAATTTAAACACATTTGTACAGTGTTGGAACCGATCACTTAATATTCTGGGGCGGGGAGTTTTGTTTGAGACAGAATATATGTTCCGGTCAATGCTTTGTCTGAAAGGAGGAGCTATGCAATTTGGGGGAGAAGGGGAGAGGGGAGGGGGGAACTCAAAACATATTATCTTTCAGACCATCCTGCATCATGCCCATCGATACATATGTTGAAAAACTTACAGCTATTATATGTTCCATAATGGTCTTCAAACTATGGACACTCTTCGTTTGTTTGCTTCCATTCGATATCTTATGGGGGCGTTCGGGTAGCCTAGTGGTTAAAGCGTTCGCTCGTCACACCCATGGCTCGGGTTCGATTCCCAACATAGGTACAAAGTGTAAAGCCCATTAATATTGCTGGAAATTGCTGATACCTAAATCGTGTGTCATCATTTGAATGAATGTTTGTTTGAGACGGAATATTTCTTTAAACAGTACTAGTGTGTTATACTCTTTTCTCTGAGTGCAGAAGCCAGCCATTTTTTCTGCCTAATCTCGTTATTTTTTCAGAATTCAAGTAGTCAAGTGAACAATTTCTGATTGGTAAAATTGAAACAATATTTTCTTCGAGCATTTATGGAATAGATTTTTTCAAAATATCAAATGGTTCCTCCCTAATCAACTTTTTATACGGGAGTCCATTTCTGCTGTCGTTCACCCTGCCCTGCCCTGCCCTGCCCTGCCCTGCCCTGCCCTGCCCTGCCGCGATATCATGTCAGTCAAATACGTACCTCATTTATTTCGAGCAGTACAGATCACCTGTGATCTCATACCCTATCTACCTGTCCTCCACAAATCACAGACCCGATATATAAGAGTTTCTAAATACGAGATATAAGCACGTACTTTGTGTGACAATAACGTGGTTTAAACCAACTATTCAGCGTTGTTTAATAACAGTCCCACCACAGGCTATCACATATTAATCCACAGCTTTTTTCCCAGGGCTTTGACACTAATCAGGATTGAGCCGCTTGTCTCATAAATACCGTTATGCTTCTATAAGGCCACGAGGATTCTGTGCACCTGGTGTTAAATAACTGCCCGAGAATTGTGTTGAGCACAAGGTAAACAGAGTTACGGTAACAGTCTTCAGAGGTATTAGTGTGTAACTCGTTCTGTACTCTGATATCTTGCTTCAAATCACAGCCGCTATAACGGTCATTAACGTTGACATTCGACACTTTGAATAAGCACCCAAATCATATGTCCATTTGAAATATAACTTAGGCCATCCTTTGTCACCGTAGCGCGAACTTGGGCTCACCATATCTCATTTTTTTACCCATGCTTCAATCGGGTTTGCAATTTGTTTGCCTAAATTTTATTTCATATATAGAAATTTCTTTTTCAAAATATTGTATATAGGCTGAAGCTTGGCTATCAGCTTGGGTGTCAGCTCAATTGATGCATCGACCTCCTTCAGAATCCGTCTCTTCATAAGGATTTTGGAGGGTAAAGACGCGGTGAACACAAACAACCGGTGACGTTTTGCATTGAAAAAGTTCACAGAAATAAATAATCTAGACGTAGACGAAATTTTTTTCTTTATAAGAAAAGCCAAGAAAATAGAGGTAACAGAAATACCGAGATATTGCAGATATAAATCTTAATAACCGTAAAGATCCGGGTCAGAATTGGTCTTCAACAACCCCTGCTTGTCGTAAGAGGCGACTAACGGGATCGGGTGGTCAGGCTCGCTGACTTGGTTGATGCATGTCATCGTGTCCCAATCGCATAGAACGATGCGCATGATGTCAATCACTGGATGTCTGGTACAGACTCGATTATTTACAGACCGTCGTCATATAGCGGGAATATTGCTGAGTGCAGCGTTAAACAACAAAACAAAAATTCACTCACCCACAGCAAATTCAATGCGAGTCTTTGAAACCCCCTTTTGTTTAACTCAAACTATATTACGTATATTGTATATGAATCCAGCTGTTAATGATTGACCTACTTCCACAGAGGCAAGACTTGCACAATGTCAATTAAACAATCTAGGCTAACACTGGTAATGGGCCTCAGACAATGAAGCATAGTCCCTCGCGAAGAGTCTTTGTCAATGGCATGGTCCAAATACAACCGAATGGAGATATATGTATATATTAAAGTGGTGACGACAGTGATTCAATAGGACTTCAGAGGCCATATCAAGTATACCTGGCGAGACCGGGACCCTTGACGCTTGAAATTCAGTATTGTATAGCGGGCGAGACGAATAAAGACCATTTACTGACTGGTTGTAGTCAAGTGGCAAGAAGACAGTCCCTCTGTTTGTATGTACCTACTGACAACACTAAGGGCTTTTAGAAACGTATGGGGGTATTTGAATAACGACGGACACATCAGAGTGACTGATAGCAGCTAGGAGGGAGAGACGAAAGGTTAGTTAATAGTAAGTGTCGTCAATAGTGTTCCTAATTTACTTGTTATCGTATGTGCCTGTATGATTTGTTCCATTGTTTTACGAATTTTACGATTGCATTGAGATATGCTTTCCCAAATCTTGACTTCTGCAATGGCGGGTCGCAGAGTAACATGTAAATATACACGTCAACGCCAGAGAACAATCAGTCTCGATTATCTGCCTGAACAGATTCCACTGTGCATAAAAGGCTAACTGGTGGTGAACATTATGTGAATGGATCACTGAAAATCAGTGATGACACCACGTGTTCACGGAGAGTGTAAGCACGTCATGTCCTACCGGTAGCACGCGACCCATGTTGTTTGTTTGTTTGTTTGTTGTTTGTTGTTTGCACTCAGCAATATTCCAGCTGTATGACGGCGGTCTGAAAATAATCGAGTCTGGACCAGACAATCCAGTGACTGACATCATGAGCATTGATCCACGCAACTGGGATAAAATGACATGCATCAACCAAGTCAGCGAGCCTGACCACCCGATCTCGTTAGTTGCCTCTTACGACAAACATAGTCGCCTTTTACGACAAGCATGGGTTGCTGAAGACCTATTCTACCCCGGATCTTCACGGGTCACCCGACCAATGTACCGGATAGGATATAGTCAACACTCGTCACGTCAAATCTTCTTACCAAATATAAGAAATAGTGAGTGAGTGAGTTGGGTTTAACCCCCTTTTGAACAGTACTTCAGATGAATCACGGCTTATCAGCTTCCTATAGCCCAAAGTGATGCAGGTCTTAGACGTTTACGTTTATGAAACTGACGAGCACGGGTATGGTGCTGACAAACCTCGCTGACTGGAAAAGGCGACAATGCTTGTCGTAAGAGGCGACTAACGGGATCGGGTGGTCAGGCTCGCTGTTGATGCATGTCATCGTATCCCAACTGCGTGGATCGATGCCAATGATGTCAATCACTGAATTGTCTTGTCCAGACTCGATTTTTTACAGACCGCCGTCATATAGCTGGAATATTGCTGAGTGCGACGTTAAACAACAACAAAAATAAATCTATGTAAGGAGCCGAACCCGGACCTTTGGCGTGACGAGCGTACGCGTTTATCATGAGGCTACCCTACCATGGCCATATCACGGGCCTTACATTTCACAAACCTGATGGCATAATATGAATTAGCTCTTTAACAAGCTTTTGATGGTGAGATATAGTTTACCCACTCTCTCATTTTTCAGGTATCGCCCGAGGATCCCTACCGTTATGAGATGGAGGAGAGAGTGAGCGTCGACACCCTCCTCAACCGCAAGGCCCGGTTAGAGAGGGAGAAAGCTATGAATGCAGCAAGATGTCCCAAGGAATCAAAATTCGGTGAATGTCTACTGAACATCAACACAAAAGATGATCCTCTATTGTGTAAAAACCTTGGGAAAATTAACCTCGAGGTTCGCCGTATGGAGTTCAAGATGAAGCAATTGCGTCAGACGTTTGTCAAACAAAGCAAATTCCTGAACCACGAACCTCTGATTCTGGTCGAGAGGCCTGCATCACCGGAAGTCCGTCACAGAAGGGTTGTCATGGACATGGGTGCAAATGACCCGGCGTCGATGACACTTCCGGGTTATATGCGACCTCTGAGGTCACGTTGCCGCACGCCGTCGACAATTACGACAATAGACGCATTTACGGTAAGACCAAAAAAGAAACGGAACGTCTGGGAGGAAGCAATGGACGAAAAGGAAAAGCCAAAATTCAAAAGTACAGTTCGTCCTTGTTCCAGACTAACACAAAGGGAGTTAACCGAGGTTCATTTGGGCTGGTCCACTCATAAAACTAAAGTTGACAAGGAGCCTGAAGCACGGACTCCGAGTCCTTCCAGAGCTACACCGCGAAGTTTGCCTAATGACAATCAGGTGTTTATAACTCAGCTCCGTCGTACAGACCTTCCACGAACTGCCGATGGCCGACTGACGAAATCAGTTAGATTCAAGGATGAGGAAATCGAAAATTCACCTCCATCATCGATGGGCAGGAAATCAAGGTCAAGGTCAGCGAAAAGAATTTCCTTCGCAAGATGACGACGTGTTCAGGCACTCACGGATCCCAGACATAGGTAGTCTTACGTGTGTCTTTTGTATAAAAGTAATTGGCGAGAAACTGTACTGTAAACTGAATTTCTTCCTGATTACTGTCGATGTGCCTCCTTGTATCTGCAGGTTTATCATTTTTGAAAATGTATATCTCTGTCCTAAAATGGCACTCTATTTGTAAACCGATGTATTCAAAGTATGTGTATATTCGGCCTTTGGCCCCATACTGAAATAATAAAAATATCATAAACATAAGACATCGGTACTTCCTTCTTAACATTTCACGTAGGTACATACATAGGTAAACACTGCGGTAAATAAGGAGTTGATGAGGTTTCGATTCCCCACATGGGTACAATGTGTGAAGCCCATTTCTGGTGTCCCCCGCCGTGATATTGCTGGAATATTGCTAAAAGCGGCGTAAAATCATACTCACTCAATAATTGATTCCAGGGACGTTCGTGAACAATAGCCACCGTTTAATTTAATTTTTAATCTCTGTATGTTGGCCATAAGGCGACCAGCACAAGTTACACATGTACATTGATAATATATGCAACGTTATCATGGACAGAACACCAACGTTATAACTAAACTGCAGTGCTAAAAGGGCGGTCGGGTAGCCTAGTGGTTAAAGCGTTCGCTCGTCACGCCGAAGACCCGGGTTCCAATCCCGACATGGGTACAATGTGTGAAGCCCATTTCTGGTGTCCCCCCGCCGTGATATTGCTGGAATATTGCTAAAATCGGCGTAAAACAATACTCACTCACTCACTGCAGTGCAAAAAGAAAGTATACACTTCGGATTTGACCAAAACGTTCCAAACGTTACAAGGCTGAAAACAGTCCCAGAAACACATAAATGAAAACCGCTGAGTGCGGCGTAAAACAACAAACAAACAAACGATCACGGTATCAACTGACTACGGCGTTAACAACACACTTTAAAATAGTATCGCCCATTAAGCATTTCACCAATCCGATGAAATACTTGTATTACGAGAAAGTTTGCCTTCAGCATGTTAAATACATCCTTTATCAATCACTCGGTGTTGACCAATTAGGAAGCTATTTGACGCTGACCAGTGGCGACAGCTATTATTGGTTGGGAAGCATTGTACACGGGGAAAGATGGTCAACAACACGCTGCGCTTTTCCCACGTGCTTTGTTAACGTGCACGTGTGTGTATAAATAATGGGTAACATAAGTTAATATTAAAGTAAACGGCGAATCTTGAAATATCCAGAAACCACCAAAACATGCAAGACACTGCATACTCGAATACATCAATCCTGAAGTTACTGCTTCACTGGTTGGAAACGGAAAGGAATCACGTAACTATATGTGACAACTAACCATCGTATCGTAATATACGGAGGCTTCTCGTTGGCGATGCATCACAAAGGTCTCTCGTTATCTGTATTCATTAACGTGGCTTGGATCCTTGATTTCACCGTGTGTTCAACTCGTTACTACCGAGCACATATGTCATCTTCGATGAACGTCAAATTCAACGTGACGCCGCTATCGACGTTCACGTCGACGTCTCCCCTGGCGTGCACGCAGGCCTGTATCGGTACATCAGCGTGTCGCTCCTTCAATGCGGGACCCGGAGGGAGATGTGAGCTTCTCGATTCCCACCTGTGTGATGGACGTGGCGATTTGGTGTCGGAAGTTGGATTTCGCTATTTTGACATCGACCTTGACCTTGGGGATGGAGTAAGTACTTTTTTATGTTTTCCGTTTGATGTGTTAAAGAATTAGTATTATAGGCATTATTATAGGCATAAAAGTGTAATATACATTTAGATAATTAGCAAGTAATTAAAGTAATTAATAAGCATTAAGATACATTCTGATTCTATAAAAGATCAAGAGGGAGAGTTGGGGTCGGTAAGTCGGGAATAGGTAAATGTATAAAACAGGCAGCTCTGGTTACTTGAAGACTACGGGAGCATGCCGGGGCACGAGGATCCAGGGACGAGGGCAGTAGGTCGAGGGTTATACATGAACGAAATATAATTAACAGATGAGAAATAGATAAAAGGGAAAAATAGAGTTGGGAGGTACGGGAACGTCAGGGACTTTGGACATATATGGTCTGAGGGGGGAAAATAGTCCGAATTCCAAGGGGTAAGAAGTTACATGATAGCAAGTCCGAATAAGGTTCTGGTTATTAGAGAAGAGTGGGGAAGAACGACCTAAGGTAAGGGGGGAAAGGTGTTTGACCAATGAAATAGGAAAAAATGGGTAAAACCTTGACGTAAGCTGGGGGTAAAAAGGACGGGGAGACCCAAGGTTCGGGGAGACTGGAGGATCCCAATTGAGCACCACGATCTCGACCTTACTCTGAAAAACACCAGTTTACACCTCCAGTATTTCGGCCAGGACTGAAGCTTTGCGGCTAAAGTCCTTAAACCATCGTGACCAGAAGTTGGTGATCAATCATTAGTGATTGAATAAACAGTCATCAACGAAAGAAACTCTTTGTGCTCATTGGGAGAACTACGGTAATTCATCCAAGGCCCTCGGGTACTGACCTTGTACCTCTCGTAACATCCCAGTCTGTCAGCACCAAGAACGAGGGGATTACCGTGGTACAGGTGAGGAGGTAACGACTGTTACACTCCGGTTAATTAACACCAATTAACACCTGTAATTAAGAGGCGAAAAGTACCTTGGATATTAGATGATATTTTTCACTTTTGAAGTAAAAAATATGATCGTAGGTTTTTAAAGGGGGGATCTTCACCGGATTATAATTGGTCCCAAGCAACCTATGATGGTAAGAGGTGACTGAATCGTGTTGTTAGGTCTGGTGACTTGTTTCATTGCGTGTCAACATAACCCGGCGGCGTGGATCACTGCTCATAGTATCAATCACTGGATTGTCTGGTTGGGAACAACGGGGAATAAACGTTTTCACTATATTACGCTGATAAAGATTGTGATGGCCAGTGCATGATTTAGCATAGGGCGTTGTGAAGGCCTGAATCGTAGGTATGCATTGGCTACCAGTGGATGTCGGTTAGTGAAGCTCATGGGATAGGTTATTTACCATACCTTGATGTTTCCATGGGTATAATGCGAATATGGGTTTTCTAATAATTGTCAAGACGCAAAGACTCATCGTCAGATAGAACAAAGCTAACAGTTTGAGACATTGAAGTAGTTTGAAACCCTGTTGATCCGGAAAACAGCAACCAGGTATTTCTCTTGAGAACGGCCAACTCAGATTATTTCGTTTCCTTACCGTATCTCCGCATCCGTTCCTTGTTTAATATTATTTTCGTGCAGTAAGTTTGTGAATTTGCGAAATGATATTACAGCGCAGTTCTACGTGTATTATTGATAAAAAATCATTAAAAAAATGATAAAAATCTATATACCAGTCTCTTCATTAATCACGTACCTCCATGTCATCGAAAGTTAACTTTAAGTAACGTTTCCAGAGGGAAAACACAAAACCGTGTTAGTCCGCTAGTGTGAGGTGAAAGTAGTCCGCTAGTGTGTGGTGAAACTAGTCCGCTAGTGTGTGGCGAAAGTAGTCCGCTCGTGTGTGGGGAAAGTAGTCCGCTACTGTGTGGCGAAAGTAGTTGGCTAGTGTGTGGGGAAAGTAGTCCGATAGTGTGCTGGGAAAGTAGTCCGCTACTGTGTGGCGAAAGTAGTTCGCTAGTGTTTGGTGAAAGTAGTCCGCTAGTGTGTGCCGAAAGTAGTCCGCTAGTGTGTGGGGAAAGTAGTCCGCTAGTGTGTGGTGAAAGTAGTCCGCTAGTGTGTGGCGAAAGTAGTCCGCTCGTGTGTGGGGAAAGTAGTCCGCTACTGTGTGGCGAAAGTAGTTGGCTAGTGTGTGGGGAAAGTAGTCCGCTAGTGTGTGGGGAAAGAAGTCCGCTACTGTGTGGCGAAAGTAGTTCGCTAGTGTTTGGGGAAAGTAGTCCGCTAGTGTGTGCCGAAAGTAGTCCGCTAGTGTGTGGCGAAAGTAGTCCGTTAGTGAGTGGGGAAAGTCAGTGGATATATTGGTCGTTCCCAGATAATGTCAGAATTCTTGTGCTAACACGTGACAAATAAACAATTCATAGTTTACTCTTACCGTCCGATCCATTTAGTCGCAACTTACGACAAGCATGGGTTGTTGGGGACCAATATTACTACCCAGAATATCCACGTGATTTGTAAAAGCATACACAATGTACGTGTGAGGTTCACCTGGCCGAACTGCTGGAATACCGTGGTGATTTTAATAATTTGTTTACTGTCATATTTCTGTCTTTTATGTTATATTACTTGGTTTACGGATCCGTAGCTTTGAAAATGAAGAATGTTAAAAAAGGGCACTTTGAATATTTGTTATTGACGCTGACACTGACAATCATGCCTCTGAGCAGAAAAATCACAGTTGTCGCCCTTGAATGAGATAAGCGTTACATGATCATTAATCCATATGTATTTGCTCGAAAACTATTTATAGCTGCATCGGTTCTCCAGTGTTGCTTTGGTCCCATGTTAACGCTATGAAATTATTAGTATTCCTGATCCATTTCACAAAATATACAAAAGAAACACAATTTTTAGGTTCCTTACGCTTTACCGACCCTACGACCCGAATATGCTTGCTGAAAGACTCCAAGCAGTTCCTCATTGGCTTCCTTCCTATGTAAACAGTATAAAAGGTTTCAAAAATAGAAAAATTAGAAATTCTATTTTCCCCATCTTACGGACCCTTTTTCTTACAAAGAAATGTTAATCCTTTTCGACCATCACCCAAATGTTTTGAGAGATAAACCTGTAAACTAACTGATATATAAAGATAAAAAAAATAACCTTGAATGACTTAAAATGGATGGCCCTTGATCTTAACAGAGTTTACAGACAGCTTACTTGAGACCGGCCTGCATGGACAGCCACAGATGCTCTCCAAAGTGTCGTAAGTGTGTGTTACCTTAATATACAATGTACAGTTGAACCTCTCTTACCCAAACTCTGTAATTGACACCCTATATTTATCGCTACGGGCTTTCCTCCCTGCGTTCCTTCACACTGAGCTGACACGTGGATCGTTGTTCATAATATCAATCACTGGCTTTACCGGTTATTTGCAGACCGCCGTCTTGTAGCGGAGTATTGCGGAGTGCGGCGTTATTAAAACAACTGAACACACACACAATCCATCTCTATCTCGCCAACGACCACAGTTTAGCCTGACCCTGTTGGGATTTCGGGTCAAGGGAGGCCCCAGTTCCTCGTAGCCGCAGATCGGGTGATCAGGCTCTATGACTTGGAGTGAGTGAGTGAGTTTGGTTTTGCACACCTTTTAGCAATATTCCAGCAATATCTCGGCGGGGGACACCAGAAATCGGCTTCACACATTGTACCCATGTCGGGATTCGAACCCGGGTCTTCGGCGTGACGAGCGAACGCTTTTACCACTAGGCTACCCGACCGCCCCCTATGACTTAGATAATTGTCCTTCCCCAGTGTGTCTGTTTACATTCGCGTACGAAGATGTGATGTTGTTGTTTTTGTATTTCATGGCCAGGCACTAAGGATGTTTTGGGGGCGTCATGTACGACAGACGCTGACTGTAGAGACGTCACGGGAGCGGCTTGTAGAGCGGCCACGTGTCACTGCAAACCACACTACCACACCAGACAGGCCTATGATTCCTGTGTAGAAGGTACATAGTATCGTTACTGCATATATATCAATAAGATAGAATCCACTATGAGAGAAAAATGTCCACAATTCGGAGCCCCTTTCTTACTAACTTCATCTTTGGGCAACCCATCCTTGCTGTAAAAGGCGACAATGCTTGTCGTAAGAGGCGACTAACGGGATCGGGTGGTCAGGCTCGCTGACTTGGTTGATGTATGTCATCGATCCCAATTGCGTGGATCGATGCTCATGATGTCAATCATTGGATTGTCTGGTCCAGACTCGATTATTTACAGACTGCCGTCATATAGCTGGAATATTGCTGAGCGCGGCGTTAAACAACAAACCAAACCAAAACTTCTTTGGGAGTCCGGGTTAGAATAGCCCCCAGCAACCTATGCTGGTAGTTAGACACGATCAAATGGATCGGATGGTCAGACTCGGTGACGCGTGTTATCGTACCCCGATGGCGTGAGTTGTTCCTCATGATATCAATCTCTGAATTTGCTGGTCCAGTCTCGATATTTACAGGCGTGTCATATAGCTGGAATATTGCTGAGTACGACGAACAAACATTGATATATTGTCCAAGTTCCTGGCATTCACACCATGCTCAATGTATCGAACTATGGTCAATCGAGACAAATGGCAACTATACAAATCCTTATTATTCACTTGATGTCCAAACAGTGTTTGCCAAATACATAAGAAGGCGTATCTACTGCATCTAAGCCCTACTTGTACCTCACTATCACACGTTAAGACACACCTGTCAATGTTGTGACTAATGGTGTTTTATCTAATCTTGAAGTGTATATCTACGTGGACAAACGTTTTTGAGTGTTCTGATGACAGTAGCAGTCAATGGAGACACTGCGAGCGTGTGTTAATAGTGTGAGTGAGGGATAAGTTTAAAGTCGCTATATTTTGGACAGTGTTTCGTTTTGGAAGAAAATCCAGAACACCCGTTGGGACTGGGTAAGAAAATAGATCCCCGGCATCAGGTTGTCAGACTTGGTTGATTGTGTGTCACTGAATCGCAACTGTGTGGATTGGCGCTCGTGTTAATCACTGGATTGGCGCTCATGTCAATCACTGGATTGTCTGGTCAAGACTCGACAGGCGTCATGTAGCTTGACTAATGACTATTGCCTATAAGTGACGCGTTAAACAACAAACGTCAAAAGTGACGTGGACAGGGATTAAACAACATATTCGAACCCACGACCATGGCCACCGGATCCTGGTGCGGTCAGTGGAGCAAACTCTACACGGATGGCTGTGTTGCGTTAGATGATTGGGCGTCCTGCGCTTTCCATTTTTTTTAAAAATACGATTCTCATTGGCCACCTCTTCGGTGCGCACTGTCCAACAAAAAGGTGTGTCAATTACGTTAACTCTCTTTAGTTCCTTAAATCGTCAAAAGTGAAATAAGTAATGGTCCCGTTAGAATTCTTATTGACTTTATGATCACGTATCTCTCCCCTACGGATATACAGTTTGATATAATTTCGATGATGGCGTGAATGTACATTAATTTGCAACTGTTCCCCTGCAGCTCGACACTGTACGTCCTTCAGCGCCAACTTCACCGTCACCCGCGGCTACGCACTCACCGACTTCAACAATGACGTCTATCTGTCAGGGTACACCTTGAGCACGTGCATGTACGCCTGCATCAGCGCCACCTATCTATGTCGCAGTTTCGAATTCAGTCCACCTTCGGGAGCCTGTCATCTGAGTTCGAACTCCTGCTCCGACACGAAGAATGTGTTCTGTGGTACCAACGCCCAATATGACTACTACAGCCGTGACTGCCTCTAGATCATGTGGCCTTCGGTAGCGGTGAGGTACCCCAGTGGTTAAAGTGTTCGCTTGTTACGCCTTCGACCCGGGTTCTATCCTCTCGTCACCTGATCTTGTTGTCATCAGGTGATGCTGCAATATTTCTAAACGCGGCTAGGTTACATGAGTAAATGAAAAAGATGTGCTAAAGTGGGAATAAATAATAGGTATCATGCTCGCAAAAGGCCATTTCTGATATAAAACATTCATGGAACGAAAACACATTCGGCTAATACTGAATCACTGACGGAATGGGAAGTGAGTTAGCACTACGCCGGTATTTTTAGAAATATTTCAGCAATGTCACGAGGTGAGTGAGTGTGGTTTTAGGCCGCTTTTAGCACTTTGCCAGGAATTTCTCGGCGGGGGTCACCAGAAATGGGCTGCACACAATGTACCCATGTCGGGATTCGAACCCGAGCCTTAGGCATGACGAGCGAACACTTTACCCACTAGGCTACCCCACCTCCCCGCGCGGTTGTGGAGGATGGCAAGTAGATACAGCTGTTTGTAGAAGCCTTAACTATGTAACACATGTTTTCATGCTGTAAAACAAGGCCTCGTATCTCCCTGACTTGTTGTGACTTACCTACCTACTTACTTACATACAGTAAACTACGGTTATAACGAACTCAAAGGGACCACTAATTTTAGTTCGTAATAACCGTAGTTCGGTACAAGCATATATACAGCATATATCCAACAAATGTACGGGACTAAAAAATAAGTTCGTTATATCGGTAAATTCGTTATAGGCGTGTTCGTTATAAACGTAGTTTACTGTATTTTGAAATAGAGACCTTAAGGCTTAAGAGATGACCACGCTGAAATTTGTATATTAATCTGTAAGTATTCAACTTGTTATTCCAGGCATAAAAAAGAATCAAGACCAACAGTAATATCAATTACAGAAAACTACGGTTATAACGAACTCAAAGGGACTACTATTTTTTAGTTCGTTATAACCGTAGTTCGTTATAAGCATATATACAGCATAACTACAGCAAATAGTCGGGACTAAAAAGTAAGTTCGTTATATCCGTCAGTTCGTTATAAGCGTGTTCGTTATAACCGTAGTTTGCTGTACTGTATTATTCTGGCCCAGACCCGATTATATACAGGCACGTAGATGGAGTATTGTCTGTCGATATGTAACCTATGCTCGTAAGAGGCGGTTGATCTCGCGCTTGGTCGAATGCATGTGACCATTTCTAACCAGAATCTGTACGGAGGCACTTGGCTTTCAGTCAGGTGAGCTAAAAAAACATCACAGCTTTCACATTGATACGTACCTTTGTCTTCCATAGTTTAAGTCAGCGGTATGTTTACATATATGTATACATATTATACTCTCTTCATAATACATCCGTATACTACAAAGGGCTCCCCATGAAGACTCGGGTTAGAATAGGTCTTCAGCAATTAATGAGGCGACTAATTGAAGATGGTGGACAGACTCGCTGACTTGATTGATGATGACATCGTTTCTCAAGTGCATTGATAGATGCTCATGATGTCAATCACTGGATTGTCTGGCCCAGACTCGATTATTTACAGGCCGCCGAATGGGACGTCAAAAACAAACAAATAATACTATACAAAGGCTACTTAACTAACGCGAATCACAAAGGCGCATTATCTCGCGCCATGGTCAATGAGTCGACATTTAATGCTTCGGACAGATAGAACCAGAAGCGCTCATCTCTACTTATTATGAATATTACCCTTTATTTGTAATTATTATTATTTATTAATTAAGACATGTATCAATTGTATAGGGACAATCTTTTTTGGAAGCCTCTACTCGATAAATGCAGTCACGATGACCACCATCAGAGAGTTATCTTTACAGTACACAGTAGCTATTCACTGTGACATAAATAAAAAAAAAGTCAAGGCTAGTCGCGATTTTTTTCCTTTTAAACAGATCCATTGGGCGCTTATGGCAAAATAGCAATGGTGAGGTGAGGTAAGGTGAAATTGAGTTTAACGTCACGTCGCGGCCTCTTATAATAGCGACGTGCATGCACGTGCGTGTGTGTGTGTGGCTGCTTGTACTAGTTCGGACTGATTCCGATTTACAGTGCCAGCTCACTGAGATACCATGCCGCAGTTTAACATGAATACCCCACTCAGACACAGTATACTGCCTCCGAGCTGGACAGTCCTTGTTTTAGCCCCTTAATGCCGAGCGCCAGACAGGGTAACAAAAAGAACCATCTTTTGACGTGTTTTGGTATGACGCGGCAGGGGATCGATCCCCAGACCTTCCGCTCTCCAGGCGGACGCTCTGCTACTAGACCACGGAGGCGGTCCTAAATAGCAATTAAAATTAAATGAATGGATAACTGAAAATGATCATTGAATCATTGAATTTCGTGAAGCTATTATTTTTATTCATTGTCTTTAAAAACCTGCCAAGAAGTACACCAAATTAGCCATAATACATTATACGTTGCATTAGAAAGTCAGTTAATTACTGCTTTCAAACCTTATATTTAATCATAATCATAATCATAACCAATGACAATCATCATCATCATTATCATCATCTTTTTTTAAAATTATATGGATACTGTTACCTATATATCAATGATACTACAACATTAATTGTCACAAACATTGCACACAAAAAAACCTCTACATTAAAAACGATCAGTTACATGATTTGTAACACCAAACTCGCTATAATGCCACCATTCCATGATATTCGATGGCATTTATATCAACATGTTTAATTTACAACAAATCATATTAATCATATTTCCAGAGGGAAAGAGAGACCTGGGTTGATCATTAGTACTTCCCTGTTGCGCTGTAGGAAGGAGGCGGAGCGCTATAGGGAGGAGGCGGCATGCTATAAACGGGGGCCGGATTCTGCACTCCGTATTGCGAGCCGAGCACCGTACTGCCTTGCACCGTTGACGTACTATTGTACGTAACGTTGGAACGCTGGAAACAAAAGTACTGCGTCAGGTTATCAGTGAATGAGCACGTTTGGGAAAATGTCAGTCATATCACGGCTTGGCAACTCAATGGAGAAGGGTCTGTTGTTTGTTTGTTGTTTAACATCGCATCAGCAATGTTCCATCCATATGGCGGCGGTCTGTAGAAAATCGAGTCTGGACCAGAGACTAGTGACTGACATCATGAGCACCGGTCTACGCAGGTGGATACGGTAACTTCATCCACCAAGTCAGCGAGCCTGACCACCAAATCCTGCTAGTCGCCTCTTACGACAAGCATGGGTTGCTGAAGACCAATTCTAACTCGGATCTTCGCGGGGCTCAATGTGCAAGGAAAGCAAAGGTGGTGTAGGCCGTCAACGTTTACCACTTTGATGAAGTCCATGGTGCTGATCATAAGGATGTCAAGGACCATAATGGGATATCTCGGAAGTTGATGGCATGACTCTTCACAGCGACCCACAGCGCATTACACGCATTGGCCACCTGTAAAGTGAGACCCGTGAAGATCCGGGGTAGAACAGGTCTTCAGCAACCCATGCTTGCCGTAAAAGGCGACAATGCTTGTCGTAAGAGGCGACTAACAGGATCGGGTGGCCAAGCTCGTGGACTTGGTTGATGCATGTCATCGTATCCCAATTGCGTAGATCGATGCTCAGTCACTAGATTGTCTGGTCCAGACTGGATTATTTACAGACCGCCGTCATATGCTGGAATATTGCTGAGTGCGGTAAACAAACAAACAAACAAACAACAAACCTGAAGGGTGAATGACCTAATATTTTACATTGCATGAGTAATATTGTAGCCACATAGTGATTTGGCAACCTTTAATCTAAAGGGGACGTTGATGTCGAGTGAGTGAGTGAGTATGGTTTTACGCCGCTTTTAGCAATATTCCAGCAATATCACGGCGGGGGACACCAGAAATGGGCTTCACACATTGTACCCATGTCGGGAATTGAACCCTGGTCTTCGGCGTGACGAGCGAACGCTTTAACCACCAGGCTACCCGACCGCCCCTGATGTCGAGTGAGTAGTTAGGTTTGGCGCTACTTTAAACAGTATTCAATCATATCATGTCAGCTTGATGTTTGAGAAAAGTCCGAAGTGATGCAGACCTTAGATGTTTACCATTGTGGTGTTACCCACGAGCACCGTTGGTGCTGACAAACCAAGAAACATACAAATTACTCAGGGCAAATCTTGGATTTGAACCCGCCATCATTGTTTTCTGGCACGCCCAAGGGGCGCAACTAGAGTTCGCGAGTAATATAAGAAGTAGTAGTTGTAAAGGAGGTAGAGGAGGGTGATGTACGCCGTGTTAAGCAGTAGAGTCACATCACAATCGAACCCGATCAAAAACGAATATAGTGACTAAAATACGATCTCTTCTTTCAATACCGCCCTATAAAAATACTTCGTACAGCAATACTCATACTTAAATTTGCTAAGGACTAAAATGACTGTCATGATGTAACTGAAAATTAATAGCAACAATAGTGATAATAACCATTATTTTATATTTGTTTAAGGATCTTTTTAACTGCGTACACAACAAACCACTTGTCAAGACAGACCAAGGGCGTTATGACGAAGTCCAAAAGTCCAAAAAGTTTAAAAAATTATCTTAAAATATTTCCCCCACCGTCCCATATAGATTAAACCAACATCCGAGGCCATGTTGTATCAAACGCTTCAAGTGTCTTACCCCAAACACATTTCCGTAGGTTCTCCGTCTGAAGACCGCGACAACAATGCCGATGAAGATCAGGACGAGACAGATAACGGAGATAGAAACACCAGCGACGACACCTGGTGCCCATGAACATCCCGCGATTTCATCGGAGTCGTCGGTGCAGTCATCGTAGCCGTCACATTTGACGTCCTCGTCCACACACCGGCCGTTACCGCACTCAAATTCCCCATAGCTGTCACAGGTACCTGCAAGAGTAGATGACTGAGATTCTATGCTGCTGCTTGTATAAATGTATGCATTGAATTAAAGCACTCAGAAACATCCCCGCTATATGCCGGCGGCCTGTAAATAACCGAGTCTGGATGAGGCAAAGAAGTGATTGATATTATCAGCAACGTCCTTAGACGTCGGTGAATGATGAAACGCAATTAGCAAAGTCACTCAGTCAGACCACCCGATCCATTTTGTCGCCTCTCAGAACCATCGGTTGCTGGTGATTTTTCACATATTGCATACTGCTGCAGCCTTTCACATACTGCATACTGCTGCAACCTTTCACATACTGCAGCAACCGTTCATATACTGCTGCAACTTTTCACATACAGCTGCCAACTTTTACATACTGCTGCAACCTTTCACATACTGCTGCAACCTTTCACATATTGCATACTGCTGCAACCTTTCACATACTGCTGCCACCTTTCACATATTGCATACTGCTGCCACCTTTCACATACTGCTGCCACCTTTCACATATTGCATACTGCTGCAACCTTTCACATACTGCTGCCACCTTTCACATATTGCATACTGCTGCAACCTTTCACATACTGCTGCAACCTTTCACATACTGCATACTGCTGCAACCTTTCACATATTGCATACTGCTGCAACCTTTCACATACTGCAGCAACCGTTCATATACTGCTGCAACTTTTCACATACTGCTGCCACCTTTTACATACTGCTGCAACCTTTCACATACTGCTGCAACCTTTCACATACAGCTGCCACCTTTCACATATTTCATACTGCTGCAACCTTCCACATACTGCTGCCACCTTTCACATATTGCATACTGCTGCAGCCTTTCACATACTGCTGCAACCTTTCACATATTGCATACTGCTGCCACCTTTTTACATACTGCATACCGCTGCCACCTTTCACATACTGCTGCCACCTTTCACATACTGCTGCAACCTTTCACATACTGCTGCAACCTTTCACATATTGCATACTGCTGCAACCTTTCACATACTGCTGCCACCTTTCACATACTGCATACTTCTGCCACCTTTCACATACTGCTGCAACCTTTCACATATTGCATACTGCTGCAACCTTTCACATACTGCTGCAACCTTTCACATATTGCATACTGCTGCAACCTTTCACATACTGCTGCAACCTTTCACATATTGCATACTGCTGCAACCTTTCACATACTGCTGCAACCTTTCACATATTGCATACTGCTGCAACCTTTCACATATTGCATACTGCTGCAACCTTTCACATACTGCATACTGCTGCCACCTTTCATATACTGCTGCGAAATCTCTCACCAAACTACTTAACGAACTGCTCACTTTAGTCGCCTCTTACAACCAGCATAAGATGCCAAGGACCAATCCTAACCCCCGTGGGGAGTCAGGGTTAGAAGAGGTCCCGAGTGGCCTATGTTTGTCGTAAGAGGCTACTTAATGGACAGGGTGGTCAGGCTTGGTGACTTGTTTGTCATCGTACCTCGACGACGTGGAATGTTGGCTACAACCTGAATCACTGGATTGTCTGGTCCAGACACAGTTCCAACCTGGAACCCCCCACACGGTTTAATGCCGTGGGTCTTAAGATTGACCTTAAGGTGGCCGTTACATATGACAGTGGAACTTACCGTAGGCAAATTGCGTCACCAGGATCTTGAACGTCCCGGACTGCCCAGGCTGGAGGCGTTTGAGCTTGACCACTACACTGTCTCCAGTGCTCGTCCAGGGTTGGTCATACGGCGTCGAGTAGCCACAGGTACCCGAGCTACCTGAAACACACCCATGTACCTCCTTATGTTGTGACGTATCAGGTTTCAGATATGTATATACCCACAGCAACCATTTCATTGCGAGATATGGTATTCTAATGATATTTATTTATTATGCTTAATAATATATATTTATGGATGTGATGTAAACTTACGGCCAAATAAAATTGCAAAAAAAATTAAAACCACAAATGTAAACTAAATCGATGCAAAACACATCGTCCAAACACAACAATGCTTTTTGCAGAAAGTGATACATGTCAACGGCATTTTTCTGTAGAAAAGGGAACAAAGGCATTGGGATGCAAAACACAGGAATGTAACAACGCCAAGATGATCGTCATGTTAATGTCGATCTATAGACAATTTTTACGCTTTATGTGACGTCATTAACAGAGTGGAAGCTCATGATCAGGCACCTCTCGGTGCACAACGTGTGACGTCAGCATGGCAGGAACGTTACATCACACTCAGCCATCTTCGGGATCGCCTCGAAACAAGAGCTCATTCGACTGCTAAGGCCTCCATTGGACGGGACAGTGCGCCGACGTCAGGCTACGCTAGGCATGGACGTCACCAAGTGTACAGGCGTCGAGGTGAACGACTTGATCGCAACTGGGTTATTATAATCATAGTATGGGGATTTCAGCCCGTCATTTTTCCTCAAAACCCCAATGCCCAAAGATACGCCAACGCTATTATTCACACGTTTTTGTTTGTGTGTTTGTTTGTTTGTTGTTTTACGCCGCACTCAGCAATATTACAGGTATATGACGGCGGTCTGTAACTAATCGAGTCTGGACCAAATAATCCAGTGATTGACATCATGAGCATCGATCCACGCAATTGGGATCGATGACATGCATGAACCAAGTCAGCGAGCCTGACCAGCCGATCACGTTAGTCACCTCTTACGACAAACATAGTCGCCTTTCATGGCAAGCGTGGGTTGCTGAAGACCTATTCTACTCCGGATGTCCACAGGCCTATTCACACGTTTCCATTCCGCTACTCGGGAATCTAGCAAAATGATCATCCTGCCTGCCCCTACAGCCAGATCCATACAGTCATGTCCGCACAGTCATGTCCACAGCAAGGTCCTTAAAGTCTTGTCCACAGCTAGGTCATGAACATCCGTTGGTTGGTAAGCGACAGTGTAGACGTCATATTTATATCTCGTGTCAAAATAGACAGGTGAGGTGAAATAGGGTTTGACGTCGCGTTCAAGATTATTGCACTTATATAGCGACGTGCATGCACGTGTGTGGCTGCTTGTACTAGTCCGGACTTATGTCGATTTATAGTGCTAGTTCACTGAGATACCAATCGGCCGCAATTTAACATGAATACCCCACTCAGACACAGTATACTGACTCCGAGACGACCAGTCCTTGTATTAGCCCCTTAATGCCGAGCGCCAGACAGGGTAACAACAAGTACCATCTTTTAACGTCTTTTGGTATGACGCGGCCGTGGATCGAACTCCGGACCTTCCGCTCTCCGGGGGGCGGACGCTCTACCACTAGACCACGGAGGCGGTCTCAAAATAGACAGACAGTATTTGAGACCATTGACCCATATTGCAATAAAGTATGATATACATGTATGACATGATATACAGTAGGATTCACTCTTATTCTATTTACATTTGTCAAATATCTATGTCAGTCCAGTAAATATCAGTCTGTTGGTATATGTATACTTATTAAAATGTTCGCAATGTGTTGAGGTAAACATAATTATTATTTCACCATATATCAATTTACCAGCTTCTGATTGGTTAAAGAGCGGACAATTATTTTCGCTAGCTTATGTCGCCCGCTGAAAATCAACAGGAACACATCGCAGGTAGCTTGTACATCTCGAAAACGTATTGTTGCGTTGAAATGAACCGATGCTTAACCGCTCGCACTTGGTAAAGGGACGTAACTCGGTTTGTCTGCTCCGATTTTTTTTTGCTAAAAATATTCCGGACCTCTATGAATAAATGTAGGTAAGGTAAATTTGTTTTTAACCGATCCCTCGGAGCATATGGTATGATGTACGCCTGTCGGCTCGGGGTACATAGGCTCACACACAGGGTAAATCACACCATATACCCGTCGAGATCGGTTGACAGCCTATACTGTCCTTACTGTTTACAGGGGGGCACGGGTGGCCCAGTCGTCTAAGGCGCCGCGATTCGCTGTGCAGTGTTGCGTCCCTTGGGCATGCCAGAAACCTATGATTGTGGGTTCGAATCCCGGTTCGCCCCGATTATGTTCGTGGGTTTCACCGAAGTGGTAAACGTCTGAGACCTGCATCACTTCGGGCTTTCCTCCCACATTAAGTTGACACGCCGTGATATAACTGGAATACTGTTAAAAGCGGCGTAAACCCAACTCACTCACTCACTACTGTTTACACACCATCACTTGTTATGTACACACGATTTTTTGAATAAGTTAACCACGAGCTACTCACGGCTGAGGGAGTTGCCAGATGTGTCCATGACATCAACACGACTCAGGGTACAGGAGCCTGAAAGGTCGCCATTAAGGTCGATGTCGAGGAACTGCACAGAGAGGTAGGAGTTGGTGTGGTAGATGTTGATTGTCGTGAATGTCACCGAACATGTGTCTTGGATTGGCCAATCCCAGCTCCGGAGCTTGAGGATCGTGGAATCAGAGACGTAGACAGTGCTGCCACAGTAGTCATCGATGGAATCTGCGTAGAAGACATGGTGATACATGGAATTGTTCGAAAGTTTGCTGTTGAATAAAAAAAGCCATATTATCCCCGGTCAATCTTCGGAAACACCCTGACCCCATTCGCATCCACAGCTTCGTTAAGGAAGTGACGTCACTGGCTCTCTTTTGAGAAAAAAAAACTTCTTCACGTAAAATTCATCCTGCTCCATTCGTGACCAACTCGTCACATTCCGGGACAAGCCGAATGTAGACTCGTGCCCCTCTCGGAGGTTTCCATATTGGCGTTTGAACACGAGAACTAATTCAAACAAGAACGATAACTCTGATTATTCCCGCTACACAGTAAAATTAATGTAGGCACTACATGAACGCTGGCTTAGTCCTGTTATACGACCATTGAACCTCTCTGATATAGATCGATATATATTCTTTTGTACAAAAGTATATTTAGCAAGCCATTCAACTCATTCTTTCTAAGCTGTTTATCTTTTATTTGCAAATTATTAATTTTTTAGTAAGCTACTAGGTCCAAATAGACTGAATCTCGTTTTTCAAGCGAGATAGTAGCTTACAATATCAATTACAGGTTGGCCTGGTGATGTTTCGACTATGTACGGGCAACCGTCACATAGGTGGAATATTGCTTCGTGTGGCGTTAAACAACAAACAAGCTTATAGGTTCGTTCAGAAAAATAGGAAAAATTACAATCTTATCAATTATTGTAATGACATGTAGCTGAGTATAACATATGTGCTGGATATAACATAAATTAAATTGTGTGAGAGTAACATAACTAGTCTCTTATAGGTTTAATAAACCAGAATATAGGTTCGTCATTAGGGTAATTTAAAACCCATGATATTTATTACATTACGATTTTTTATCTTTTTTTCCGATAGCTTCCTTTCATCGAGAGTTTTCTTTTACAAATTTCGAAATACAATGTAATTCGTTCACATCTTATTCATCTTTGCGTTGATGATTTTTGTTATACGAACCATTATATAGTTGTGAATATTTATCGAGGAATCGGGTTTTTTTCTAGCAACCTGTATTTATCTTCTTGAGTTATCTCTGGTTAATGCGACCGCCTCCGTGGTCTAGTGGTAGAGCGTCCGCCTGGAGAGCGGAAGGTCCGGGGTTCGATCCCCGGCCGCGTCATACCAAAAGACGTTAAAAGATGGTATTTGTTGTTACCCTGCCTGGCGCTCGGCATTAAGGGGCTAAAACAAGGACTGGTCGGCTCGGAGTCAGTATACTGTGTCTGAGTGGGGTATTCATGTTCAACTGCGGCATGGTATCTCAGTGAGCTAGCACTATAAATCGGCATCAGTACAGACTAGTACAAGCAGCCACACAAACACACACACGTACATGCACGTTGCTATATAAGTGCAATAATCTTGGACGCGACGTTAAACCCAATTTCACCTCACCTCTCTGGTTAATGTAATAAAGGTGCGTGATACAGAGGTGTGCGTGCGTGCGTATCGGGGGTATTTTAGAGAACCAGATAATCACCCAAAGATGTATTTATAGCAATTAAATCCGTTAGGAATACATTACCACTGTCCTAATTTTGCTATTTATAATTCATCTACACAAATCCAACCGTTAATATCTATTAAAGCGAAGATAAACATCTTTGTTATACAAGTGGATTGTCTTTACCATAATATTATGGAGATAAATTATTATAACTGGATAATCTAATCTGTTTATTCAGTACATGAGTGGGCCAGCGGCCCATAGTACAATTCGGTTCACCAGACATGTATAAAAATACAACTGTGTACACCTAAATACACAACAGCAAGGCATTCATAGATAAAGAATATTACTTCTGCAAAAATGAATTCCTTAACTTAAAAGCGTGGTAAATATAACAAGTCAGACTTCTAATTGTTGACTGATGCAGAGACGACATAAGTATGTAAAATTGTTCTATTGATGGATTTACATAATATTTTTGAGGAATATATGTCACTCGGAGAGCATAATATTTTTCACAAACCAATACAAAATGGTATTCAGACTCAACATAGCCTGTTTTACAAACCATACATAACCTTCGCTGTCTTGGGATACCAAAATATCTCCCGGTTTCTATGTGGAGCGAGTGGTAGCTAGCTCTAAAACGTGCCAGTGCAACGCGAAACTTATTGATTGTAATAGCCGATAAATAAAATTCCCTGCTAAACCTAAATTTATAACAAAGATATGATGAATACTTGGGGCTATTGGTCAAAGCAAAATGCCAATCTTGTTCATAAGAGCATTTTAATCTTTGTATGAACTCATCAATAAATGAAATAGAAATAACAAGATGCTGATTTTCCCATACGTAGCCAAAGCCATAGGCGTACAAAAGTAATTTAACTCTAGAGGCCCAATTAGTCTTACCTGCTATGGCCTGCTGCACAAGCATATTGTAACTTTTTCGTGGATAACGCGAATCGGGCATCTTTAAAATCTTACACCAATAATTCAAGCATCTTTTGAAAGCATAGATATACAAAGGGTATCTCCCACACTCTCCACGCACAACATGATTGGAAGTTGCTGACTTAACTCCTAAAATACGTTTACAAGCAAGTGTATGAACAACTTCAATCTCCTCGCAAAACGATAAAGATAAACCCCAAACTTCTGCGCCGTAAAGAAGTACGGGCACAACTTTAGCATCAAAAATTTTAAAGAAAATATTCATAGGAGTAGGTTTAATTAGCTGTAGGGACTTCAAAAGCTTAAACAAAACCTTTTTAGCTTGATTAACAACATTAGATATATGTGCACTCCAAGATAGATTTCGAAAAAATAATACACCAAGGTATTTATATGTAGTTACACATTCCAACAATTTTCCATCGTAAACCCATTTTTCATATTTTGAAAGAACACTCCCATTTTTAAAAACTACTACTTTAGTTTTATCAATATTGACTGTTAATGAATAATCTTTACAATAACATTCTAACACATTGATTCTTTTCTGGAGACCATAAACAGTATCTGCTATGAGAATGACATCATCTGCGAAAAGTAATAAAAACAATTGAACTACATCTGGATGAAATTGGATACCATGTGCGCAACTGGATTCAATATCTATGGCAAGATCATTTATGAACAAGGCAAACAAAATGGGACTAAGGACACATCCTTGACGAACTCCCTTACTGCAGCTAAACATATCAGAAAATGAGTTATTGTATTTGACCAATGCCAAAACTTGTTTATAAATTGACTGTATACAACAGAACATTTTCGGAGAAATACCATTTTTGTATAGTACCATACGCAATTTGGATCTATCTATGGAATCAAAGGCTTTGGCAAAATCAACAAACAAGGTAATAAATGAATTAATTCATTAATATCAACCACACACCCTTGCACTTCATTTTGAAAATGATGACATCCTTAACGAGATTGTCAGAGGGAAACAGACATGTCCCATGATACTGGTGTGGATTCCGGGTAAGAACAGAGCTCCCCATCAACCTATGCTTTTCAGAAATGGGACTACGTCACAAACATGTGAGCTAATACTTACAAAAATATTATACTCATTAGTATGATAAAATCAGTAAAAAGATAAACTTTATTTCAGCAATAATTTGACTATTGGTATGAGCGAGAGTGATATTTTACGCCGCTGTTAACAATATTCCAGCAATATGACGGCGAGGTGACCCAAAACCCGGTCCTTCGATGTGACGAGCGAACACCCACCCCACCCCCACCCCCATCCCACTCCTATCCCCACCCCCACCCCCATCCCACTCCTATCCCCACCCCCACCCCAAACCTCGCCCCGTTAGTATGTACACAAGACGTATGTTCATGACGATCACTAAAGGTTTGGTCTGTTTCTGAAATCATGCAGATCTTATCGGCCAAAGATGTTTTTTCGGCCTACCTCGTCATGTAACCCCACATGCGCCGAGCAAGGAGAGAATGAATACATGTACCACCGTATCTGCACTCTTAGTACACTTTAAAGAAAGCGTTTGTTGGATGTTATTGTTTAAACATTACATGGTGAGTTCACAACAAGGTAGTCCTACCTGTACTTGGGTATCCAAACACTGTCACGATTGCCTGTAGAAATAAACACAAGAAGAGACGAAACGCCATTTTGATCATGTGCCTCTTATCACATACAAAGATATGCGTTGCACTTTGACCGTTGTCGAGGAAACTATGGCAGGCTCTCGCATTACAACAACCTATCCGTAATCACGTTATCTTGTTACAATATATTTAACATCGTACACTGTTTATGACGTCACTCCCGTGTCCGCATCGTACACTAAAAAAATACAAAATGCGCCCCGGGAAGATCTGGGTTAGAACTGGTCTTCATTGACGCTGGCTTGTCGTAAGGGGCGATCGGTAGCTGTATAGTAGCTGAAAAAACCATCTAATCTCCATACATAATTTCAGCCCACTCTCCCATCGCTACCCCACCCCAGGGGGCGGTCGGGTAGCCTAGTGGTTAAAGCGTTCGCTCGTCACGCCGAAGACCCGGGCTCGATTCCCGACATGGGTACAATGTGTGAAGCCCATTTCTGATGTCCCCCGCCGTGATATTGCTGGAATATTGCTAAAAGCGGCGTAAAACCATACTCACTCATTCCCTACCCCACCCCAGAAAATTAAATGGTCGGTCCTTAAGGCCAGAGTCTAGTTAAGCACATGACGTATTATGCTGACAAGCAACAGGTCCAATATTTGGTAAATTCCGTCTACCACAAAATTTCTAAAATGACAAAACCAGACCTTGGAAACATAATGTGTGCTTCAATGAAATTTAAATGAATGTATGTGCCCCAAATTAAGGACATTTAGCAATTTAGAAACACTTATGTTTAGATATGATTAGCTCTAGAGTGTTTAGAATTATGTTTAGATGTCGTATCAGTCGGTATATCCGATTCCTCAAGAGCCTTGAGTGGGTGTGTAGGGTATTTCAGTTAAGAGGATTCTTGAGGAAAGATCATCAGAGGACA